GCTAAACCTTTTCTAATAAACCTTCAATATCTAGGAAAGCCCCTTTGTGTAGTTAGATGGATCGAACTTGGGTCAATGCAAGTCGCATGTCAGAAGAGTATGAGAATGGAGTTCATTCCTTTTTGAAATTTGCCGAAAAAAATGCTCCCAAAATGAATGGAAAAATCTATTGCCCATGCATTAATTGTGTAAATGGTAGAGTACAAGAGATGGACACAACGCGGGAACATCTTATTTGCGATGGGATGATGAAGAATTACACCATATGGACATGGCACGGTGAAGTGGTTGATATTCCAACATTATCACAAACTTTTGAGGATGATGTAACCTGTGAAGATCAAATAGAGGACATGCTTTGTGATGTGGGTCAAGAGAGCTTTCTTGAAGCGCATGCATCTATATATGATACATTGAGGACCGATTCAGAGACACCTTTGTATCCCGGATGTACAACTTTCACACGGTTGTCATCTGTGTTAAAAATTGGTCAATCTAAAAGCAAAATTTGGTTGGAGTGATACAAGTTTTAATGAATTACTCCAACTTTTGAAGGAGATGCTCCCAGACAATAACACCTTGCCGAACCGTATGTATGAAGCAAAGAAGATACTTTGTCCGATGGGTTTAGAATATAGGAAGATACATGCTTGCCCTAATGATTGTGTGTTATACAGGAAAGAATTCTCATCTTTAGACCAATGTCCAACATGTGGTGTATCACGTTACAAAGCGAAGGATGGTGATGATTGTAGTCAGGAGAGTGATAAAAAACGTCCTCCTGCAAAAGTTTTATGGTATCTTCCAATAATTCCAAGATTTAGGCAGTTGTACGCTCACGAAGATGCTGAAAATTTAATTTGGCATTCAAAGAGAAAAACATGTGATGGGCAAATGCGACATCCATCTGACTCTCCCCAATGGAAGAATTTTGACCGTCTATTTCTAAGTTTTGGTAGTGATGCAAGAAACCTTAGACTTGGATTAGCAACAGATGGGATGAATCATTTTGGAAATTTAAGTAGTAACCATAGTTCATGGCCCGTTTTATTGATGATTTACAATCTTCCACCATGGTTATGCATGAAACGCAAATATGTCATGTTGTGTATGATGATTGCAGGTCCAAGACAGCCAGGAAATGACATAGATGTGTATTTGAGTCCTTTGATAGAAGACTTAACACTATTATGGGAGGAAGGAGTAGATGCATTTGATGGGTATCAGCAGCAGAAGTTCAAGTTGCATGCAATGTTATTTTGTACCATTAATGACTTCCCTGCCTATGGAAACTTGAGTGGATATAGTGTGAAGGGGCATTATGCTTGTCCTATTTGTGAAGAAGAGACCAGTTATCTACAATTGAAACATGGAAAGAAGACAATTTATAACGAGCACGAGAAAATTTCTCCGCATGACCATCCATACTGTAGGCTGAAGAAAGCTTTTAATGGCATACGGGAGGATGAAATTGCCAGAGAACCATTGACTGGTTTACAAGTTTACGATCGAGTGAAGAACATAAACATTACATTTGGAAAGACCCAAAAAATGTCTTATGACAAGAACATGTGGAAGAAGAGATCAATTTTCTTTGATCTTCCATATTGGAGCCATTTAGAAGTACGACATTGTATTGATGTTATGCATGTGGAGAAGAATGTATGTGATAGTCTCATTGGCACATTGTTAAACATTCAAGGAAAGTCAAAGGATGGGATCAAAGCACGTCAAGACCTTTGTGAGATGGGAATACGTCCTGAATTACATCCAAGGCCTGAAGACAATAGAACATATCTACCATCAGCATGTCACACCTTGTCAAAGAAGGAGAAACGTAGTTTATGTCATTGTCTTGAAAGTATTAAAGTGCCACAAGGATACTCTTCAAATATTAAGAGTTTTGTATCCATGAAAGATTTGAAGTTAATAGGATTAAAGTCTCATGATTGTCACTTTTGATGCAACAGTTGTTACCCGTGGCTATACGTAACATATTGCCTAAGAATGTTAGACATGCCATTATGCGACTATGTTTTTTCTTCAATTCTATTTGTGCCAAGGTTATCGATGAAAAATCACTAGATGAGTTGGAAAATGAGGCTACGGTTGTGCTATGTCAATTGGAGATGTATTTTCCTCCATCATTCTTTGATATAATGATTCACTTAATAGTTCATGTTGTGAGGGAGATACGAATTTGTGGGCCGGTTTATTTGAGGTGGATGTACCCAATTGAGCGATACATGAAGATCTTCAAAGGGTATTCTAAAAATCCATACAGACCTAATGCTTCAATTGTTGAGCGGTATATTGCAGAAGAAGCCATAAAATTTTGTACAAATTACTTGGCAAGAGTCGTACCTGTGGGTGTACCTAGAAATCGTCATGATGATAGGCTAAATGGTAAGGGAACTCGTGGTATTAGAATTCAAACAAAAGATCATGTAGAGTTGAGCACCGCCCACTTGTATATTTTGAACAATACGGAAGAGGTTATTCCTTACATAGATGCGCATAAAGCAATGTTAAAGGACCTAAACCCCAAAATGGGTGAAAGGTGGTTGATGAAAGAGCATAACAACAACTTTATCAATTGGTTTCAAAGCAAAATATTTTCAAGTGACAATGCCTCTAATACACTGAAATGGCTAGCACATGGTCCTAGATATCTTGTTATAACTTGGCAAGGGTATGACATTAACAAATACTCATTCTATACGAAGGCACAAGATGACAAAAGTACGGTCCAGAATAGTGAAGTATCTATTGAGGCAACATCTATGCACTTTTCTAGTGCAAAGGACAAAAACCCCATCATGACATCAATTAGTTACTTTGGAGTCATTGAGGAGATTTGGGAGGTCGACTATACTAAATTCAAAGTGCCTTTATTTAAATGTAAATGGGTTGATAGCAAATGGGATTTACTTTGATTGATATAAACAAGATTGGTCATAAGGAAGAACCCTTCATAATGGCATACCAGGCAAAACAAGTGTTTTATGTCACTGATCCATCAAATGGTAGGTGGTCAGTTGTCCTCAAAAGAAAAATGATTGATGTCACAAATGAGAATGCAGAAGAATTAGATGATTTTATTAACATTCAAAATTCACCACGGTTTCCTATTGGTATATCCCAATTGGAAGAGGACTTTGTTCATGCTACTCGCAATGACCATGATGAAGGCATATGGGAAAATATTAATACAATCTAAGTTATGTTTCTATTTATTTATTTTTTTTAACATGTAATTGAGGAGACTTTGCATGTGTATTGATATAATTCTATGTTTTTTTCATTACAGGTAAATGACATGTCCTCCACCATCTCTTCCACCATCTCCACCACCATCTCCACCACCATCTCTTCAGGCATATGCAAAGACATTTTTCAGTCAGAGGAGTCGACAATTGAATTGTTTATTCAAATTAAGACCATATAAAAGATAACACCAAAAGAAATAATGCGTGACTTAAAATTAATACATACGTTGACAAACATCAAATATAAAGGTTTATTTTTGTCTCACGATTTATAAGATGATTTTACGGTTACCATTGATATTGTATTATTTCTATTTTATTTGAGTTTGGTATTAACATGAATTGTTCAATTACACACCATTAATATATAATTTTTTAATATTTTATATCATTAATATAAATATCTACAAAAATAAAAAAATATAAATATATATTAATTAAATATTAAATATATATAATTATATAAATATGTATTATTAAATATATAAATATATACATTTATTAAATATCTTATTATATAATATTTATTAATTGTATACAAATATTCAAATACATCACACTATATAAATATGTATTCATTAAATATAAAAAAAATATAAATATATAATTATATAAATATATAAAAAATATAAATATATAATTATATAAATATATAAATATATGTATTTATTAAATATTTTATTATATAATATTTATTAATTATATATAAATATTTAAATATATCAAAATATATAAATATGTGTTAATTAAATATATATATATATATATATATATAATTATATAAATATTTATTAAATATCTTATTATATAATATTTATTAATTGTATACAAATATTAAAATATATCAAAACATATAAATATGTATTAATTAAATATATATATATATATATAAATATTATTAATTATATATATATGTTGAAATTTATATTTATATAACTATATATACATATAAATATCATATTATATAAATTTATATTTATTAAATATATATATATATATAAATTTATTTATGTTTATATATATATATATTTATATAATTATAGATATAAGATTTAATAATAAGTTATGAATTTATATATATATATATATATATATATATATATATATATATAAATAAGTTGATGAAAATAAAATAAATCAAAACGCAATTGAAAATTTAATCCCCGAATAATCGAATTCTAAGTGGATTTCAGCTCGGGTATAGTATGTTCCTATTCAGAATTGGATTTTTCTATAAACCGAATTTTAAACTTTTGGATAAATAAAGTGAGAGATTATTTATTTTCGTAATTAATGTTTTATTTAATATTATTTTGGAAAAAAAAAATGCGTTCAGGGAGACTCATTCCGTCCCACTCACTTTAAACGACGAGAGTCTTAAACACACGTCGTATCTGTCAGTTTCCCTTCATTCCCAGACCCTCTTCCAGAAGAGAAAAGGTCACTTTCTCCACAATTAGCACATAAGGTTCAATTCGATTGGATTCGATTCAACTCCCCTTGATATCTTAATTTACTTTCGTTTGTCTTTCGCATTTTTGTATAATTTTGCATCTGGATTGTAATTCTGGACTGGGAGTTGCTGGTTGAGCTTTAGGTCTTCCGAATTACGCGTGTTGTATGCCTGTATTATAGGCATGAATTCTAATAACTTAAAAGAGAGTATAAATGAATTAATTTATAATAGCAGTTGGTGATTGATTCCAATTTGGATGTGAAACCGCAGAGAGAATGAACAGTTCGATTGTGAGCTTGGTCCTGCTGTTATTCCTTTGGGCGTTACGCTATTCAAACGCCGAAGAAACTTTCGATGTTCGCAAACACCTCTCCACGGTCTCCAGGTCTCTCTCATTTTTCGTTGATTGTTAATTCAACAAATTGAATCTTCTTTCGCTCATTTCCTATAGTTTTGATTTTACCTTTTATTATTTCCGACTAATTTTGATGCAAATTTTGTATGCATATGTTTGCTGACTTACTAATTTTTCTATCTTAATTTTCTTCGCAGATATGGTGCTGTGAAAGACATTGCTGACAATAACTTTGTGCCTTCTAAAATCCCGGAGGGATGTGTTCCCATCCATTTAAATCTTGTGGTAATTTTCTCGACTATTTGAAGTTTTTTTACTAATTATGAATGATGTTTTACAATACACTTCAATTCTTGTTGTACTTTCTAAATTGTTATATTTTAACTTTTCTGTTGCTATGTTGTTTGCTGGAGAAATGTATGACGGTGTTGAATGCTGGGTTAATATTTCTAGAATGTTTAGGTTGTCTATGATTGAAATTTGATAGTTTTGAACTGTCTGGTAGACTGATAGCACTTAACTTAATAGAAGAGGATGATGATACTACTTTACTTAGGCAAGGCATGGAACTCGATCTCCCACGAAGAAAAGGATAAAGGAGTTAGATAATTTGTCTGCTCATCTGCAAGTTCTTGTGAGGGATGCAAAAGAGCGAAATTTGTCTTTGGAGAGGGTTCCTTCCTGGCTAAATGGATGGAAATCTCCTTGGCAGGGAAGGCGTAGGGGTGGTGAATTAATTAGAAGAGGAGAGGAAGAATTATATGATCTTGGAATCAGGATTAGAGCAAAGTTTCCAAATTTATTTGATGAGGAATACCATCCAGATATATATCCTATTAAGGCATCTCAGGTGAGTTTATCTTCGATTTTGATATTTTAATTTATTTTTTGTAACCACAATTTACAACAGTAGTATTTTGGATTAGTAAGAAAATGGTGGTATTTTGTTTCAAGTTGATGAGGGAATCCTAAGATATGATGCTGATTAGTTGCAGTGCCACTGCATTATTAACTGCAATATAACATGTGGACATGCTTTTGAACATTTGGAAGCTACCACTTTATTTAACTCAACAGTTCTCGTATATGTGGTAAACAGATTCCCCGGGCATCTGCCAGTGCTGTGGCATTTGGAATGGGGCTTTTCAGTGGCAATGGAAGTCTTGGACCTGGGCATCATCGAGCCTTCGCTGTTACAAGTGAAAGTCGTGCTAGTGACATCCAGCTGAGATTTCATGACTGCTGTCATAATTACAAGGTATGTTTTAGTCGTCATTGACAATTATGGAGGACTCTTAATGCAGCAATTACATGTGTTTAGGCTACTAACATAAATATAGAATCAATCTAATTGATCCTAATATCATCAACTGATTTTAATATTATCAATTATTATACCTACGGATTATAACATATCTACAAGATTCTAACACTCTCCCAAGTTGGAGCATATAGGTTACATGCACCAAGCTTGTTACATTCAAGGAGCTCTTAGTGGCTTAGTAAATAGATATGTTAGTTGATCACGGGAAGTGACAAAGTTAGTAGATATTTCCTCGGACATGACTATCTCTTTGACATAGTGTTAATTAACTTCAATATGTTTCGTCATTTCATGATGTATTATGCAATATGTATGGCGACTTGATTATAACATATAAGTCATAACTATATAACCTTCTCAGACTTTAGTTTCTGAAGTATTTGTTTGAACCATATAAGCTTTTGACTTGTTATAGTTTGTAGCTCGATACTTCACCTCCACACAGACCTGGATACAAGATTTTGCTTATTGTTTTCCCTTGAGACAAGGTTATCGCTAACAAATATAGAAAAATTAGACGTGGACATTCTATCCATTGAAAAGCCCACCCAGTCTACATTAGAATACCCTACAAATTGAATGTGTCATTTGTCCTCATGCAAAATACTTGTTCCTGGAGCTTCTTTGAGGTATCAAATAATGTGAGTCATTGCGAACCAATTGTATATGCCTTTCAGGGTTTTAATGTTGATTTAGCAAAAAATTGAAATTGGGATCAATTGAGGTGTCAACTATCTTGGAATTAAACATTCATGTTTCTTGTGGAATATCTATTGCATACTTCTTTAGGATATGATGATCCTATTTTTTTCTTGTTCTATCTCTATCCCCAAGAAATATTTTAGTTTTTCAAGATCCCCTTCATTTAGAAATGTTTGAAAAGATGCTGTTATACCTGTGTGATACCAAAATGATCATTCCCTGTTATGACAATGCCATCAATATAAACAACCAGATAGATGTAACTTGTAGGTGAGTGACAATAAAACCAATCATTCCCTATTATGACAATGCCATCAATATAAACAACCAGATAGATGTAACTTGTAGGTGAGTGACAATAAAAGCCAAAGTGTTTGGCCTCACTTTGATTCATACCAAATTGTTTAATCACATTAATAAATCTATCGAATCATGCTCTAGGTGATTGCTTAAGGTCATATATAGATTTTTGTAGTCAACATACAAGACTGAAATACTCCCCCCTAAACAACAAATCAAGAAGGTTGCTCTGTGGAGACTTCCTTGAGTAGATTATCATGTACAAAGACAATTTTTTTTTATGTCCAACTAATAGAGAAGCTAATGACAAATGACGACAATGGATAGGAATAGTTGCACAAAAGATATTTTGGAAACACAAGAAAAAGTATCCTTATAATCCAATTCAAAGATATGAGTATATTTTGTGACAAGACGAGCTTGAAGCTGGTCAACCTTGCCCTTTAAACCTGCCTTGACCATATACATTCATTGGCAACCAACAACAAACTTCCCTCAGAACGAGTCCCAAGTCTAATTGCAATATAATGCATACCTCTTGTCTATCATAGCTTGTTTTCATCCTTGATTGGCAAAGGCTTCACCTACATTCTTAGGAACATAAACAACGGACAAGGAAGAAAAACAAGAATAGTAGGAAGGAGAAATACGATCATAAAAAGAAGTATAATGAGAAGGATTATGATATGCCTTTCCGGAGATCAAAGTGAATTTCAAACTTAGAAGATGGGACTAAAGAATAAGACAAAGGAATTAACTCCAAAGGTGAGTTTGGGGTATTTTTGGTGCTAGGTGGCAGCAATTCATGATGAGTATGATGCTGATAAACTTGCAAGGCTAGAGGAGATGGTTCAGGAGAGGATGCAAACTCCCCAAGAGGAAAAGAATGGAATGGGATAGGTGTAGGTGTGGAAGAAGTTAACATTAGATGACGTAGATCCAATGGGTCTATTTTGAAAAATGTGAAATTAGTAGAAATAAATTACCTACGAGAATTAGTGTAAAAACACTTGTACCCATTTTGAGGTCGTAGGTATCCAAGGGAAAACACTTACGAGACCAAGGAAAGAGTTTGTCAATGCCAAAACCAAGAGCATGAACAAAACACATAGAACCAAAGTCCTTGGGTGGTAAAGGATGAAGAGAGTGGTGAAGATATAAAACTTAGTGAAAGAATATTTTACCTTTTAGGATGAAGGAGGGCATGCAGTTGATGAGATACCGCATAGTACGTACTGCATCACCCAAAAACTGATAAGGAACATGAAAGTGGAAAAGAGGAATTCCCATGTTCTAAAAAAGATGTTTGTTTTTATGTCCAGCCACCTCTGTGTCAAGGAGTATGAGGACAAGATGTTTTATGAAATACACTAAGATGCCATAAAGGTCTGAAATTGACTAAATAGATACTCATGTACATTATCACTTAGTAAAGTATGAATAGGAACACTAAATTGATTTTTGATTTCATGAAAAATTAGATTGAAAAATATAAAATAATTTTGACTGATCTTTCATTAAATATAACTAAGTATAACAAGCAATATCATATATAAAAGTAACAAAATATCTTACTCTAATGTAGAGGAAATATGACTTGGACCCCAAAAATTTGAATGGACTAACAATCTTCAGCATTCTTAAAGGTAGTGTTTGTGATTTACTTTGTGCAACCTTTTTTTTTTATCTGGTTGTATAATTTCTTGAGTAATGGATGCAGTCATATCGGAAAAGCCAGGAACCTGAAGTTAGTAAACTTAAGGAACCCATTTTGGATGAGATTACATCTGCACTGATTGGGCGCCATGGACTTAATTTTACAAGGCAGGATACATCTTCTCTCTGGTTTCTGTGTAAACAGGTTATTACAAATTTTAATCCAGCTCCTTTTGTTCTTGACCGCATTTGATTTTATAAATAATCATTTAGCTGAGGTATTGGAGATTTATAATTTTCTTTCTTTTCTTTTCCCAATTTGTGGTTATATTGACAGGAAGCGTCCTTGTTAGATATAACTGATCAAGGTTGTAGCCTTTTCACACGTCCTGAGGTACTTCTGTAGTCAAGTCACTATGTGATGCGATCCAAGATCTAATCTTTAATGATTTCCTCGCTGCGTGTCTATTAATATTTAAATAGAGAATATAAGTTTTAAAGATGTCAGGAAACTATGTGATGTATCTACAATAGCTTATTGATTTATTATAAAACTGAAAATTCCATCCAAGTGACATTGTTTAAAACTGGCGGCAAAGAAGCATAAGTCATAAAAGGAATAATTCCGGAAAATTTGATGGTCATACTATGCCAATTATGTGACTATTGTTGAGTGGACATAAAAATAGTTTATTATGTTAATCTATGCTGAATGCTGATTAATATGCTAATTTCTGTGTGAATAGATTGAATTGCTGGAGTGGACGGATGATTTGGAGATGTTTATTATGAAGGGTTATGGTAAATCACTAAACTATAGAATGGGAGTGCCATTACTTGAAGATGTTTTTCAATCCATGGAACAAGCTATCATGGCTGAAGAAGGTAGTTTAGTTTTGTACTTTTTAAGTGTGTACTATATATCTTTTATCTTCATGCCACATTCTGTTCATGAAACTGATAATATTTAAGTATAGATTTTTATCTTTTCAGGTAATCATATATTAAACTTGTCATGTCCACAAATATTTTGTATGTCATTAAATGTGTGTGTGTGTGTGTGGTTTGCACATACATATTCAGCCTCAGCTGACAACCATTGGCATTTTATAATACTTTTGATCAAACAATTATCTCTTAAGCCAAGAAATTTATTGGAACATATTTAGCTAAGGAAGTCATTATTTGTTAGTTGTAATTAAAGGGCAAAGATGCCTCTAATTCTGTAACAACCTTAAAATGTTTGCTGCCATATAAGAAAATAGGCAATATTAATTTTACACTTGTTGTGTGGACACACACCAAGTAATTTGCATTAATAAATAGTTTGCAATTTCCAGTAATAAATAGTATGTAATTTGCATCTCATTGATTCAATTTATTTACATGGCTTGTGTATCAATAAACTAGGTCAAACTTTTCCCCCTGCTGATTATTTATGCATGTGTGTGTGTGGGCTCACTCAATTTTGTTGGTCGAAATATATAGCTAATGCAAAAATAGCAGAGGGGATTATTTTTACTTCACAAACTATTGGTTCTCCTTTTAACGTATGTATGTTGAATATGTGAACATTTGACTCATTTCCTCTTTCTTGATTGCTTCTGTAGAAGGGCATGCTTCTGGTAGCTTTGAAAAAGCTAGGCTTCGGTTTGCGCATGCCGAAACTGTAGTTCCATTCTCATGTCTGCTTGGTTTATTTCTCGAAGGATCTGGTGAGATTTTTATACTCTTTGCTTGAAATGTGTACAGAATTACATTTTTGTTCTGTTTTTTCTTTACTATTTATTAATAACTACTAGTGAGTATGCTTATATATGTTCTCTTTTAACAAAGTAGAGTTAAAAAAAATTCAGAAGGAACAACCTCTACAGCAGCCTCCAATGCCTCCACAGAAAAGAAAATGGCGGGGTAGCACTGTAGCCCCTTTTGCTGGTAACAACATGCTGGTTTTGTATAGTTGTCCTGCTCCAGATAAATCTACAAGCAAGCACTTTGTGCAGGTGTTACACAATGAACACCCCATGCCAATGCCAGTAAGCTTTTATTATCTTCGTTTTACCAATGTTTATGGTCCAGGGGTTGTAAGGTTTCACTTATTGTTTAAAATCATATTGAGCTATTGTTTGTCAATAACTCGGTATGTCATCGTGTACAGGGTTGTGATGGCTCTGATTTCTGTCCATTTGAACTATTCAAGGTACTTCTATAGTCCGACTACAATACTTATGAATACGAGCACTGTGTTATATTAATTATGGTATGCTGTTTTATATTCTACTATGCTTAATTTTGTGAGTTTTCTCCATAGGAAAAAATCGTTGCACCTCATCAGAAGCATGACTACCATACGGTCTGTAATCCCAAGCTTGAGCAGAAGCCCACGGGAGGCAAGGTTTTTCAGATATTTCAGTGGCTTTTGTCACCAGGGAAAGGTGATAAGTATCCTAAAGACGAATTTTAGTATGTTTCTTAGCAAAGGAACCTCAAATCTCACGTTCTGCTCCCTTGGTGGTACCATCGTTTTTTTACAAATTTCAGACCTGAGCGCGTATTTCTTCTAGTAGAGAGAATCAGTTTTACTTAGGTTGTGCTGTCATTACAGTAATGCCTTTGTTTTGTTCTTTTTTTTAGCTACACTAATGCCTTTGTTATCTTAAGCTTGGTGCTTGAACCCTCCCACAGCTTCTAACATCCAGAGAATTTTGAGGTGGAAAGTTTAGTTCCAAATGCCTTTTTCTTATTTCACTCTGTAGGATTACCCTCCGTACTCGACTGATACCAGAGATAGTGTAGCTTGGTGTGTTTGCACACTAATTGTTTCATTAGCTCTCTCTTGATCTCCACTTTTGTTCTTTTTAACATACCTCTAACTTCTGCAAATGCTCACGTTTTTTAGTAGCAGACGTATGTAACAGGAAGTGGTTGGTGTTTTCGTTTTTGAGTTCGAGTTCTAGTTACCGCCATTCACACCCTAAGAACATTTTTTTTTTTAGGAGATTTTATTTTGAGATCTGATGTTATTTTTTGGTTGATCATCTAAGATATTATATCTCTGAAAAAACAATTTTGATATTTGTTTTAGTAGTATATTTTATTTTGAAATTTTAAATAATTTTTATAAGTTGAGGCATAAAATTTAAAAAATAAGTTTTTATTATTTTTGTAGTTGAGAGTATTTGTACAATAATCTAAATTTTTTTATTGGAGATTTTGAGATTTTTTTTGTCTAGCGCAATATCTTAAATAATAGATTACCTTAAAATATTAAATTACGTGATCAAAGTTTAATAATAAAGTTTTTCTAAATAGTACATTTGTTTGCATACCTAAATCATATTCATTTCGATTTTTATTTTTTTATTTTTTTATTTATTAATTTAATTCTCAAATTTAAAAAATGTATTATTTTATTATTTTATATCTACATTTAATAATTAATTATGATATTTACAAAATTCTTAAAGAGATTAAATTTATAAAATATGTGATTTAATATTTAGTATAATTTTTTAGTATGTGATTTAATAATATAATTTATAAAATATGTGATTTAATATTTAGTATAGTTTTTTACTTATATTGAAAAGATTTAATTAATATTATTTTAAGTTTAAGAATAAAAAGAGCAATTTTTAATATAAATTTTAGAAACAAATCCTTTTAACTTATTTTAGTTTAAAATTATAAATAAAATTTAATTATGATTTTTTTAAATTTAAAAATTATAAAAGCACAAGGAACCATAATTTCAAACACACCGTAGTGGGTTTTTCAAGATTTTGTCATTATAGTTGATGGGACATGTCTCTTGTCATTATAGCTGATGGACAGGTACTTGTTGCATGAATTTTCTCGGACATGAATTTACACACTGTTTATAAATTAAAAAAGATAAATCTGAAATATGTTTTTAAAATATCTATTTCTTAATTTAATATTATTAATGTTATTATTATTTATGATTAGACGATTTTTAATTAAAATAATAATTTTAATCAGACTATCTTAAATCGTTATTTAGATTAAAGATTATACTAGAAGTTGAAAAAAATAAAAATAAGAAAGAGAATAAAAATTGAAATTATTTTGATTAAAAAAATAAAAATAAAAATAAATAAATTTATTTATTATTTTAATATATATTTTTTACATATTTATTATTATAATATAAAAATTAAAAAATACTAAATATTTTTAAAAAATATGATTCATGAATTGTTTATCTATTATTAAGTAAATATATATTTACATATTTGATTATAATTAATTATTTAATTATAATTTAATAATCATTTATGTCAATTTTTTTTTCATTTTTTATATTAAAGAGAAAAATACTTTTTCTAAATTTATATAATTTTATACATTAAAATACGTAAAATTCACGTGTTTTTACACTTCGAATATTTTCTGTTATTAGAAACAAACGGGCATAAACTTTGATACGGTACGATGATGAAGATGGTAGGTAAAGTAAGGTTGATTTTATCTCAGCGAGCAATATACATTCAGCCATATGTATTTTCTATATCAATACAACAGCTACATGTACATGATAAATAATGAATCATTAACAAATTTATAGGAATGTCGTTAGGTGGATAACCATTAACTAATTAATTTATGAACCATTAAAAACTATTTTATTTATTTTATTATTTTATTACATATTATTAATTAATTATTTTTTATTTATTATAATATATTATATAAGTTATTATTTTTATTATTATTAATTATTATATTTTGGATTATTATTATCTTATATAGTAATAATTATTTTATATATTTCATCTTATTACTCATTCTCAAATATATTTATTACTCTTTTATTTTAAAGTTGACTTGAGTTTCAGGTTGTTTTTTTGTATGCGGGTGTTTCTGGTGGAATTTCGATCGATTTCGACTCTTAAGACATTTTGATCCTAATCAAAATTCTACCACGTAAGTTCTTTTCTACTTAGGCTAGCAAATTAATTTTCAATCGAGATGTGTATGAAGATCGAATTTTACCCGATTTCAAAGATGCTATTTTTGATATTTTATATTTAAAATGATCGAAGTAAAGAAAGCAGAAAATTAATGAAATCGAAAAACAGTGCTGATCATTAAATTGCAAGGAAACGTAACATGTAAAGACCTTAAATTCGCTTTAAGCGTAAAAGACGAGGAATCAAAACAGCAGAAATGTAAATAACAGGAAACCGAATTTGCAGGAAATGTAAATGACAAGAGAACTTAAACGCGGAAACTTAACTTTCATTAAATCGAAATAACTAAAATCGAGAGTACAGAAACATAAAATCGCTGAAGATAAATTGCATCAAAGTAAATTACCAAGGAAAATACAGAAAACGGTAAAGGTACTCAATGAGCATGGAAATCCAGATTGCGAGAAGCTTCATGATGTTCGTCGTTTCTCCGGTAGACTTCTCACTAATGATTCTGTTCTCTGCCAATTTCTGCTGCCTATTCCTTCCTCCTTTGCTCTATTTATAGGGCATCATTCAAGCCTTCCAGGAGCAGTTAACAAAACTGCTACCACGTTCTACGTGCATATTGCAGTTTATCTTCTATGGTTTCAATACTGTACCCACGTTCCCACGATCTTCGACTTCTACCGTGGTTTAGAAACTGCTTCCCATATGTGCGCTTGACTGTTCTTCCCTTCACAATTTGGCCAGGGTTTCGATATCCACGTAGGTTAACCTTCCCCTCGATTTCGATTTTATCGAGAACTTTGAATTACTTTTGATTCCTTTTAACCTTAGCATCATATACTTCTAATTTCTTGGTTTTTTCCCCAATAAACTTTTGACTATTATTCCTTCGATTCTGACTCTAACTTTCGATTTTGTGTGCCACGCCCTTCTAATTGGACATCGAATGGTTTCTCATCCACCTCTTCGCTTTACCGATCAATCACATGTTTCTCGATTTTTCTTTCCTTCATTTTTCGATCGCTTTTCTCGATTTCCTACTAACAAAATGCCCCCTTGGAAGAATATAAATAATTTCTGTTTATATTCTTTCAACACGATTCCCGCCTTTGCTTGTTGGAGGCCCACAAAACTTAGGGTTTAGGGTTTTTGGGGTTCTAGGGTTTACAAGGTTTTCAGGTTTCCTTTTGCTTTATGTCGCCATCACGTCAGTCTGCTGCCTTACTGTACACGCTACATTAATTACCTTTCACCTCCGTCGTTTCCAGCTCCCTAGGCGATTTTCCCTTTAAACTCTCTATTGGTTTTTTACTCTGGTTTTTTACGCGAACCTTTATCCCTTTGCAACTTCATCTTCTTCCTTGAGTTCTTGTCTTCATCCTTGCGCCTCCATCTCTTACCTTGTTTTCCTCTAATATACCAATTACTGAAATGGCAACTTCTTCCAAGTCTTCTGACTTTTCCGCTCCACCCCTTACCTCATTGGCATCTAACCTGCTGGAGATCAACAATCAGAAGTTTGCTCCAGTCCCTCTGATGGAGGAAGCTTCTCAGAAAATTGTTGAGACGCAGGTACTCATTCCTTACACTGCTGATGGTGTTAATTTTGCTTTTGGGGGTCCTATTCGTTCTAATAGTGGAACTTTTTCTCCCTTCAACCTCTCGAATAGCCCAGCTCTTATTCACCAACCTGAAGTTCAAACTGATTTTTTGAATATGGTCTCTAGAGTGTACCGAACGGGCCCTCCCTCCAAAAAACCTTTGTTCATTAGATGGTTCGATAGGGTTAAGACAAAATTCGGAAACCATTGGAGAGACGTGGGAATTTTCGATTTCTTGCACTTGTCCCGATGTGACCTGTCTCATTTGGATATGGCTATGTTCTTGTCTACTGTTCATTTGTGGAATAAGGAATTACATGCTCTGGAATTACCTTGCGGTCCCCTTTCGCCCACCCTTTTCGATGTCGCAACCATTACTGGATTAAAACCTACAGGGGAAAGATATTTTAAGGGTGCATATCCTTCGGATAATTCTCTAAGATCCAAAATTGATTGGAAATCGAAAGCCTATGGGCATTTCCTCGAGAAGCATTTCGTTGATGACGAATCAAAAGCTGTAACTGATGAAGAGCACATAGCCTTTTTGGTGTACTGGTTGTGTACCCATGTTTTCTGCCCCCGATCGATCCAAATTTCCTCCCATCTATTTAACCTTGCATATCTCCTTCACATAGGCCAACCTAGAATATGTTTAGCCAAACTTTTGCTAGCACATGTGTATACTGCTTTCGACGAAGCTGTCAAAATTTTGAGTACTCCTAAAGCTTCGAGAAATTTTTCTGGCCCTATTTGGTTTGTACAGTTATGGCTGAATTCAATTTTTGAGAGCATCATTCCCCCAACTTCCACCATCCCCCCAAGTGTAAATATCGAAGGTGCTCGATTGTCTTCTCGCCACCCTCACCACAAGCCTGACGAAGCGGCTTACCGTAGATATCTTAAGTTCTTGTTAACTAGAT